ATAAAATTCTTCTTAAAACAGCCAATAAAATCCAGTAACCATTACTCAAGATGTTCATTTTCTGACACACGATCAGTTTACTTACTTTCGGTACCTTACTTAACCTTGAGTGCTGAAAACAACAGGTGGTAGAAGGATTACACCAACACATCACCTGCCTGGAAATAAGCCCTGATGTTTCCACGAGAGAGAGATCACATCTCCCCCCTTCTGTCTCCCACTCTGGATCAGCCACTCCAAATATGAATGAGCTATGTATTAATATATCCCTCTTGCTTCAGAGCTAGAGGTAACAGAATCAGTTCATTTAGATGCACTTTTTCTAAAGTGCCTGCTGCTTCACTGGGTTGCTAGCCAACACTGTATTAATTACAAAAACTAATCCCTGCTCAAATGAAACAGGAATTAAGATGCTTTTCCTGGAGGGCAAGGAGGAAGGCAAGGAAAGGAAAAAAAAAACTAGAGAAACAGAAGCATTTCTCCTGAATGAAGCATTCAACTGCTTTTTTTTTTTAATCTGGAAAGAAATATGATGGACAAACTAAACAAAATAAAGAGAAAGCTAGTAAAGAAGAAGAAAACAGTTAGTTCAAAGGCCTAATTAAACTCCCGATTGCTCACTTCTAATTTACCACAAAGCCCCTGAATTTGGCCCTCTAGCTGAATTTCTCATAAATATCCTGCAGCATAACAGGAATTATCAACATTGCAATGCTATTTGCTACAGTGTTCATGTCTCTCTGTACAGCATGTCTACGTACAGTTCCAACTGAGACAGTCTTCTTACAATAAAGGCAAACTCAAAGAAAGCATGTGGAAGATGAAAAAAAAGTATTATTCTGAGATGTCGGACACATAACTTACTGACTCTGCTGATCATCAACTGACTTGGTGCTCTCAGTCTGCAAATCCTCTTTTTCTGTTCTTTCAGTGAGTTTATTTACAGGATCTTGCAGACTCTAGATCACAATTGGTAAGTACATGAAAAGGGAAAAAAACAGCAAATTGTCAAGGAGGCATAACATATTTTTAGAAATGTCAAGCTAGATCACTGGGTATGCATGATACAGCACAAAAACGGATCCTGGATTCAAGTTTAACTTATGTCAGCAGAAACCATTCACTACTGTAGAGCTACAGTACAAATAAGTTGAAAAACCACCAGTACTCATTATACACTTTCTTTATTGACCATTCATTTTTGAAGTCCTGTTAACTGTTGCTAAACTCATATTCTGTTTCCAATACGTATTTAAGGAAAACCTTCTGTTCCATTTGCAGCCCACATGTTTTTAGGCTTCTTTTTGTTTTAGAAGATGAGATAGCTTCATTTTTTAAGTTCTGTTTTGCTCCTCAGACCACCTCTTTAACCACCTCTGTGTAGCACAGCTTAGCTCATGCAAAGCCTACACAAAGGTTTCATCTTGGTTTTAGTCTGAAAACAAGTGACAAAACTTTGTAGCATGTGGTTTCCATGTAGTGCATTTTATAAAAATCTACTGGAAGTTTAATAAAGTAAATAGGGTTTTTCAGATTTCTAAAATGGTGATTTTGTGATCTGAATGCCCAGTTGTACAATGAAAAGCAAATCTGCAATAACAGCATTAGGAGCTTGTATATCTTTTCCCTGGCACGTATTTTGGAATTGCTGACTGCAAACAATAATACACACATGATTTCTGCCCCAAATGTTTACGATGACATATATGTGGCCTGAAATTCTTGGATACAAGTGTTATCTGTTTATGGCATAACTGCACATACTAACTGTGTATGCATATATGATTATTTAAGCCATATTTTTTTCCTATCCACTGTTCTTGGCTTACATGTGAAAAAGACCTCCTTTTCCCCTACCAATTTGTGTATTTTGTAAACTCAATTAGAAATGGAAAGTAAAAATGCTTTGCTTCTGCCTCAAGCATCACAACCATTAATAGGTAGCTTCCACTGCAGAGTATCTAACAATTTTGGATTGCATGAGCTCGCCTACTTAACTTATATGGTTCTGCAGTGCTGATCAGTATAAAGAGGGAAAACAAACAAAACAAAAACAAACAATTTTAGTTTAGTTACTTGGGGACAGATTATACAATTCAGTCTGTGTGAGCAGATCTTAACACCCATGCAGTACCTCACTGAATTCAATGGTGCTCTGTCTAGGCACAAGAGTGTGCCTGTGCTGGGTTAGCTACAGGGTCAGAATGTATGCCTTGCTCTTTGCCAGGCACACTGTTTGAATATTCCCAAAAAAGGAGCAGATATAATTTTGAATACACATGAAAAGAGGTTATGTTGGTAACTAGCTGCTACTTTTACTGCTGCTTTTCTGGCAACTACACTTCAAACTGTTCATTTCAGATATGGACAGGAATCTGTTTTCCTGCCCCACAAACATTTTCTAGATGAAAAAAAAAAATTCCATTCAACATCAGGATAAGCAAAAATGTATCAAACATGTGTGCACACATAAAAACAGCCCACTGGTTATGGCATCACCTTCTACATAGAATAAGAACATACGGGATATGTACATTACACTTTACCAGTATAAGTGATCGGAAGCCAGTCTATACCCATAACAGATCAGAATTTCGGTGCACAGACTTGTCTAAAAATGCCAGAACTTGGTCTAAGTTTTGCCCACGCCCTCCATCCCCCACCAAAGGGCAAATGTGTATTCTGTTCACTGCTAAACTAAACTATACCACTTACAGAAACCATGTACCTTAGAATGATTCCACATCCAGCTTTTTTAATGTCTATACCTAGCCTAGAAGTATAATATTGGGTCAAACCATAAATCTGTCTAGCTCAGTATCCTGTATCTCACAATGCCAAAGAGGCTGCCAATGAAAAGAGGGCATAGGTATACATGTGGGCCATTTCAAGACTGATAGGGCCCTGCCCCTCTTCTCTCATAGCTTCCAACATTCAGAGGTCTATAAAGTCCTAATTTGCAGATTGCAACCCTAGGTATTACGTTAATACCGACTGATGCACCTTTCCTGCATTAATTTGTCCATTCTTTTTTGAACCTGGTTAGATTATCAGTGGCTACAACAGTGGGGAGGAACCTTTTTGGCAGGTGTCCCACAAATAAGTACTGAGTGCCACTTGGATCCCCTTCCTCTGCCAGAGCTGCTGCTCTGCTTTCTGCTCCTTGGTCTGTGCTCCCTTCCTGATCTCCACATGCCAGGTGAGTCTGACACCTCTAGCCTACTGCTTTTGCTAAGGAAAATATATTTTGTGAGAAGTTCATGAGTACAGAACATTTAGTCTTTGTGTTTAGAGTTTCATTAAAAGGTTAGCATGTCTCACCAGAATAGAACAAAGAACACCATAATTCCCATTATATAACCATGGTTAGAGTCACCAGCCCATCTGCCAGGTGGAAAATATTCTCACTTATCTAGTTTATCTTGTTCACACTGCTCCACTGCTCTCCTGAACAGATTATTTACAAATGGAGGAGTTTCTAACTTTTGTTCATGTATTTCAGTCCCTGTTTATATGAAATCAGACGGTTACGCTTAGGTTTTCCTAGGTATTTTAGGAATCAAGTTAACAGATTTGTACTTCCTGAAAAGCTTTTCTTTCCTTTTTCTTTAATTTTTCTATAAACAATTTTAAGGGAATTTAGTGCTTGCAGTGAGTGCTGGAGTATTTTGTGTGTCAAAGGAACACTTATAGCACAGACAGCAATAGCGTGTGCTCTCTCATGCCTCCCTGCAACTGGGATCCTACTGGGTCAGTTTTTCCTCCTTTTCAATCCCTAGGCCCCCTGATTCATACCATCAAAAAAAGATATTCATACACCATTTACACTAGGGGTGCTTGGACTTGGAGAAACATCATCTAGAACATGACCTTTCTCTGGTTTCACATACACCCCCAGCAAATGGAACTGCATTTAAACCAGTGACCAAGGTTCAGTTTCTGCATTGCTGATGTTAATGGAAAAACCCATGTCTCCAGTGGACTCCAGATTTGGTTTAAAGAAACTAAAGACATCAGAAAGATTCTGTACCATGCCCATAGGAAGCATTTCACAGAACTCATGGCCCAGGGTAGTACAGAGACTTAAGTCATCTTTAATTGGCTTTAAGTCATCTGTATGCCCTCATGGGGCGTGTCCAGAAGCACGTGCGTGCTCATCTTGCCCTGTGTCAAATGATATGCCCATGTGCCGTGCTGGGTCCTGCCGCTATGGGCCCAGCCCGGCCTGGTGGCACGAGCAGCCCCAGGGCTGGCAGGACCTGTCTGGGCGTGGCGCATGGTCCCCACGCACCGCACTGGATCCTGCCGCCATGCGAATGGCCCAGCCAGGCAGCAGAGGGGCCCCAAGGGCAGCAGGACCTGGCTGGGCCCGGAATGTGGTCCCCATGTGCCGCGCCAGGTCCTGCCACCAAGGGCCCAGCCCAGCCAGGCGGCAGAGGGGCCCCAAGGGCGGGAGGACCAGGCACGCGGCCCCTGCAGCCTGTCACCATGGCCCAGCCCTGCCGGGCAGCAGAGAAACCCCATGGACGGCAGGACCCGACTGGGCCCGGCACGGGGTCCCTGCATGCCGCTTTGGGTCCTGCTGCCATGGCTCAGAGCACCCCACTCCTGCTGCTGCTGCTAAAGTAAGTTATGGGCTCTGGGTGGGGGGGCTGTGGCCCTGCAGGGGGGAGCTGGGACTCTGGGTCGGGGGCTGTGGCCCTCCAGGGTGCCTGGGACCCTGGGCAGTGGGCCCCTCCTGAGCAGCCGTCCCCGACAAGGTCCCCCACATTCACAGTCCCCCAAGCAATCACCCCACACCTACCCACATCCCTCCACACACACCCACCCACCTTCCCACTCTCTTCCTGCAAACACCACTTCCCCCCATCACACACCCATCATGTGTGAAGAAAACCAAAAGCACACATCAACACACATAAGTATTTAGAATTTATTTTTTCATGATGATAGAGACACTGGTAGGCTTCCACATTGCTTTAACATTGTAAATATACCAATAAAGCATTACCCAACTGATCACTCTCTCTCTCTCTCTCTCTAGGGATCTGTGTGTATAATACCAATAAAGCGTTGCCTACTGATAGCTGTCTCTCTCTCTGGGGGGGGGGGGGGGGGGGGTATGTGAATAGTTTCTTGTTTTAATTGTGGAAAAACATGCATTTTGGGGTATTTTTAAAAAATGGATTTGGGATGCAGCTTCAGCAGTCCAGCTGGCACAAGGGGTAGTGCCCCCAGGTACCAAGTGGCCGGTCCCCAGATGCTGCTGAGAGCGAGTAGCCCTGAGCTGCTTGCCAGGGCAGCTTTTTATAGTGCTGGGGACAGCACAGGTGCTGGCCCCAGGCTCTAGATCTCCCTGGCTGCAGATCCGTGAAGAGCCAGCCGGGGTTATTTTGCCTCAAGTGGCACAATTTGCTCCACAACAAAGTGCATGTCTGAGCACGTGCGCCAAGGCAAAAAGCCCCGGCTCAAATTTGCACCACTTCTATTTGAGCTGTTGCAAGCGCACATGCTTGCATGTGTGAACGCACCCATGAACTCTAGCTCCTCTAAAACCCAGAGAGGTTCCTGCTGTAAATTATGCAAGTCCCAAGGAGCTCTCTAAATTAACTGTAGTAGTTCCTTAGACTACCCTATGGGCTGAATCTCTGCAACTGTGTGCGCTTTGGCCTTTCCCTGGGCACCCCTCTTTCCAATCCTGATTCACTTCTGGTGTACAGCTACATCAGGGCTTGTGCGTCTTCTGCAGTACTAACCCTTGCTGAACATGGGGTTTTAGAGCCTATTTATAGCTAGCATAGTAGTTCCCTGTTTACATCTCATTACCATTTCTCTGCAACACCCATCACTCCTTTTGCACATATTTATTTGAATTCAGTATATAGTTTGCGTTATGACTTTTCAAACTGTAATTAAAATATTGTATGTGCAGTACCAGACTATATGCACTCCCTTTGAA